AGAGAGAGGAGGGGAAAAGCAAGAGACAGAGGCTCTCCCACGCGCGTGTTTGAGGGTGTTGGATCAACAGACGTGGACGACGCCCAGCATTCCTCTCGCGTGTGCGCCAAGTTTACAGGAAAAAGTAAGAATATGATGATGGATGGATGGTGTGCGCGAGAAAAGGAGCATTTCCGCGCCGGTTCGCCCCCAGGCACCCGGAGGTCTGTGGAGCGAACTGGCGTCTGGCCCCGGGGAGGCACCATTGGCGGCGAAAGCCGAGGCCGCAGGCTCACTTTCAAGTGTGTTCACGGTAATATGGAGTCGCGGAGGTAGTGCTGTGTCAGTTCTCGGTGGTGGCCTAACGGCCGAAGGTTGTGTGTGGCCTGCTTTTTCCGCCTGCTGCTACGGCGTTCGACGTGCCTCTTTCCCAGGGACAGGGCGGGAAATGGCACTAAGATTGGGGCGCGATGGGGTTGAATCATGAATTTGAGAAATGCGTGTGGTGGCACCTTGGTTCGGGGTTTGGACAACGTTCAGGTCCCAGGGCCACGCGCTTTTGATGGGCGTGCCTGGGCTACCGCACAATCTAATCCAGGACGCGGGAGCAACGGCTGAGCTCTGTCAGTGCCACAGCCTTGGCTATGAAGCAAGAGGCGATGATCGTCGACCGTTGGGTTTCTCTCCGGGGATGTTGCGGGATGAACAAAGGCCGTGAGCGAGTTCGTCCCAAAACGGACATCCTGTCAAATGCCACTGCGGGCGTTGATCGGATCTATCACGAAAGGCCCGGTTATCATCTGACCGGGGAATCTTGGACAAGAGGTCAGGGAGCATAAGCCAGCACCAGGCACGAAGGCCGGCCCGGGCTCCCATTGATGGAGGAGGAGGGGCAGTGGGGAGAGGAGGGGAAAAGCCGTGGTGGCCCCGCCCTTCAGCCGGCGACGAGCGAAGTCTATTCCGGGGTTATTCACAATGGCGTCTGTTTCCTGGGAGCGATTATGTCCCTTTCTCCACGGGCTCGTGCCACTCACAAGCGAGCGAGGGTATGGATTAGAGAGAAGGCGGATCCCGGATGCCGCCATTCTCGCCAGCCTGGGAGAAAGAAGCTCGGCCCTGTTCGAGAGCCGTGACGATGCATTCACGGGGTGATGGAGTGGGATGGGATTTGTCGACCCCTGTCCGCCTGAGTCTCGGCTTCGGCAGCTTGTCGTCGATCATGGATGGGCTGGGAACATGCTGCAGCTCGACCAGGGGAGCGAGGAACAAGAGTGGATAACGAGCGACCACTTTCCTTCTCTCTTTCTCGATGACGCCGCTGCAGGCTGCACAGTTTGAGTATTTTGCCCAGAATTATTTGGAAAACCACGGCTGCATCGACATGGGATGAGATTCAAGTGAATCTCCGAATGCTACGCTGCAGGTGTGATACAGAAAGATTAGACGAGTCTTGGATGCAATGCACGGATGTTGGTGTGCCTGAGTGAGTTGACTGCAGGCCTGGGGTGGTGATGGTGGTGGAGAGGAGGGGACAAGAGGCAGAGGAGGAGCAAGCGGACGAAAGAGAAGTGAGAGAGAGAAAGAGACACAGAGTTGGCAGCGGACCCCCCGGGCGGGCGCGCCAAGTAGCGCGCCGATAGACGCGAATTGCGGACGCTTGGGGTGACGCTAGCCACCGTCACGGCCCCTTGGTGTCGGACCTGGCTCCTACGAGTTATCGTGTCCTGCGTGTCTAGTCTTTGGGAGTGGTCCCGGAGATGCAGCCCGTCATATCGGAGGCTGAGGGCGAAGGCCGCCGATGTATGGGTCGTCCCAAGTGGTTGTTGACCTGCATCCGACCTGCAGCAGTCTCGGCCGGGGGCCAACATCCGTGGGCGTGGTGTGTGTGGTCACCATGCTGTTGGCCTTGGCTGTCTGCGTCAGAAACACAGAGAAGGAGAGAGAGCAAGAGCAAGAGAGCAGGACAGAGGTCGAGGAGGGCGATGTGCGGAAGAGGGTGTGGTGGTGGTGGGCTGGTCCCCTGTCAGTGATCATTCATGATCGGGACCAGGACCGGGACTGGGATTGGGACTGGGAAGCTGTGTCTAAACTTGGTGACCCGAACGGTCCCCGCTTTTCCTTTCAAGCGTCCTTTTGAGCCCTTCAACCCTTGTTCATCGCACTCTGCCGGGATCTGCTCTCTCAAGCTCGAGTCTCTCTCTCTCGCATTGTCGAGGCTCTGAATGGGCGACCCGATGACCTAAGCCTGAGCTGCACATGGGTTCGAGGCCAATGAGATTGAGTGATGAGCAGCAAGCATCATTCGCAGATCTTACCAATTGGATGGTGTGTGGGTTTCGTCCGCTTGCAGTTTTGCCCGTTTGGCCGTTTAATCCTCCCCCCAATTGAGTTCCCACTCTCTCTCTACTCTTTCTTTCAATCACGCAACAAAGTTTCCGCTCCTTCACCCAACCCGACGCAACGCTCTAGACTCACTCGGACGAGCGTTGCAACGGTTGGCCCTGACTCAAGTCCCTGGGCTTTTCTCAGCCTCTCTGTCACTTCCAACTCTCACCACAGTCCACACTATCAATCCGTCTCTCCTGATTCCCCTCCCCCTCCCTCTGTATGACTGCCAATGGCTCTTGGCCTGCTCACACATTCCGGACGCTCTTACTCGTTCAGTCTTCCCGCAGTTCTAGTCCCCTCTGGCTTCGCGTCCGTCTCTTCAGAACTGCTCAACATTTGCTTTTTGCACATCTCTCGTCTGCATCGTCCTGTCTCAGCGCCTCTTTTTTATGATGGGAGGATTAGCCACTTGGCTATGCCATCCAAGCGAGATGTGCATACCTAAGTTACGTCAGTCGCTGGCTCGCTGCTCATTCTCACTGTGTGGGCTCTTATTCCCTGGCTAGCGAAGAGCTAGCGACCGGGGTGCCAGCGCCGGCCTGCTGTTTCTTGCTTTTCCCTTGCCAGGCTTTTGGCGAGCTCTTCATGGCCATCGTCATTTCTCACATTTTGCACTGTGTCTCATATGCATCATACATTTCATCCGCGCGTTGGGTAATGAAGGCAACTGGAAAGAAAAGAGGCACACACACTGGCAGATTGTGCCTGCCTAAGTGTCGAAGCTTGCACCGCGGCCTGTGCCCGTGTCTCACACCAACAGCACAGCTGGCACAAGACTCTGTCGGCCCATTGAGCGCCGTACGTATCAAGTTATCAATCCTCCATTCCAGGCATGGCGTGTCTCCATTCCGCAAGGTTACACACATTCAAGCTGCACTCTTACACGCAGAGAGGACAGAGACAGACGCTGCGGCAGACGAGACACACGCACGCACGGCAGCAAGAGCCCCGGTACGTATCCCCGGGCGCCTTTCTCTTTCTCTCTCTCTCTCTCTATCGTCTGTGTGTGTGTGTGTGTGTGTGTGTATGTGTCTCCCCACCTGCTCACTCACTCGCTCGGCTGTCATGCCGTCTGGTCCCCTTTGGCCTGTCAAGCCCAATGTCTCCGACCCCACCACCACCACCACCACCACTGCCACTGCAGTTGGCTGGTCTGTCCCGCTACGCGACTGTTTTACCGCGACCTGTCATCCACTACGTAGTTTTGAACTATGAGCACGCGTTTCTCGTGCCCACTTCTCACTCTTACATATGACGATGGAGCCATCCTGCCTCCCTGCTGCTCGTTGGGTGCTCACCAGTAGGAGTCTACTGCCTGTCTCGCCTGTTCGGGCGTCCAAATCTGGAGATGGAAGAGAGATGGAGAAGACGAGCGCAAGGAAGTGGATTGTTCAGACCCCTGTCGCCCATCACCCTCACCCTTCACCAATCCAAGATCCACGAGCAAGGTGCAAGCCAAAGCGGTTCATGCAGGTCCTCTTTCTTCTTTCACCTCCTCTCCCCTGGGGGCGGCCGTGAGAAAATCTCCAGTTGCCTGGCAGTCCCTCGGCCGTGGGTTCGAACCCCCTCCCCTGCTCTGGCTCAATGTCGACTCGATCACTCTTACTCCCCCAGACCAGGGGTTTGCTCACCCAAAATGCAAACCAAGATAGAGTAGACCGGGTTGGCCTGGCCGCTTGGGGGCCCTTGACGAATGGATACAGTACACCACACAAGGACCACCAGCCTTTCCCAGCATCCAAACTTGGGACCTGGCTGTGTCCCCATGTCGGCTCCTAATTCGGAGTCTCTCTCACTTTCTCTCTCGCCTCTTGATCGCTGCCCAGGTTCCTCTGCATAGCCATGTTTTCTGGACAAGAGAAGAAGACCAACAAAGCTGGCCCGAGTGTTGGATCACCAGCTAAAAAGCCCGTCCAACGTCCGGGGCACCGTACCTGGTGCTGGTTCAGCTTATCCTCTCAAACTGACACATATATGTACTGGGTCGCGTTCATGGACCGGGCGATCGTCTCATTGTTTCTCAGGGACGACGAAACAGACAGGCCGAACTGGACCATCCCGCTCAAGAAACACTCGCACGCTGCTAAGGCTCTGGGCCCTCGTCCATCTGCGCCCATTAGATCGGTGGATCCTCTCCATGACTTTGGGGAGCCTCTTTTGCCTCCCTCCTGCATCTCAATCTTCGTTTCTGTCTACACGCCCCCCTCCCACGCCGCCGCCGACGCCTCTGCTGCTGCTGCTGCTGCTGCTGCTGCTGCTGCCCTTAATTCACACTCCACACCTCCCATCCCCACTATCACGTACTCAGACCTCGATACATTCCTATCTGGGGCTCACTGTCTCTAAACTCTGGTGTGTATTGATGACACTATTTCCCCATTCTGTGAGGATTGCCCTGCCCATCACTCTTTAGGGGCGTCATCTTCATCTCCGTCGCCCTCCGTTCCACGATATAACTTTGGTCGAGCCGCTCGTCTGTGGAACGTTTCTATAATCCCATCATTCTTCATCATCTATTCCACCCGCCAACTCGCTCCCTCTTCAGTCGACCACGCCCTCGACCGAATTTCACAAACGGAGCGCAATAACAACAACCGCCCAGCAACCACATACTCTACAACATCACAGGCACAATGATGTCGCAAATGTGGCAGCACGAGCAGGACCACTCCATGGATGGTATCATGGACTCCTTCCACACCGAGGCCAGCTTCGGCTTCGACGGTGCCATGTCCGTCGGCACTACAACACCAAGCTTCTCCGCCGCCTCGTCCGTCTACGATCCCAACGGGCCCTTCACCCCCCGCTCCGGCCGCTCTACACCTCACGACCAGAGCTCATCATCGCAGTCCACCATCGACTTCGACTCCTCCTTCTCCGCCCACAGCTCCTTCAGCTTCGACCATGCCTCAACACCAGACAAGAGCTACTTCCCCAAGCCCGACAAGGTCGAGATGGGCATGCCCATGCAGTATGCGCAGTCCGCCATCCCCCTCACGCCGTCGAGGAGGCAGAGCGCCGGCTACGGCAGCATGGACCATCTCGACTACAACACCATGCTCCACGTCACGCTCAACTCCCACTGCGTACCGGGCATGTCCTCGCCGCACCACCACAACCACCAGCAGCACCACCACCAGGAGCCGCAATACTCTCTCGCGCAAGACCTCCACTCCTCCCCCTTCGTGATGCCCACGCCGCACCGCCAGCTCACCAGCTCGACGCCGAGCAACGTCCACCAGAGCATCTGGAGCTGCAGCAGCGAGAGCCCCATCATGATGTTCGGCAGCGATGCCACGCCCTCCACCTCCCCCCTCCAGGCCATGGGCGCCGTCAAGCGCGAGACCACCCACTCCCCGTCACCCCTCCGCTCCTCCCCCACCAGCGTCGCCGCCTCCGCCTACCGCAGCGCCCACAGCCACGGCTCTCGCCGCCAGATCTTCGCCGAGGTCCAGCGCAAGACCCTGGCCCTGCAGAAGAACCAGAACGACATGGAGGCGCTGAGGCAGCTGCGTTCCATCCAGGTCAACCAGGACGGCTCCGTCCTCGACTGCGGCTCGGTGAAGGTGCGCCACGTTGCGCCCAGGAGGGAACGCTGCACCTACCCCGACTGCACCAAGACCTTTAAGCGCAAGGAGCATCTCAAGCGTCACTTCAAGGCGTGAGTTCATCATCACATGAGACCTTAAACACAGCCAACTAACAATCTCACCAGTACGCACGAGAAGGAGGTCGAGCTCTACACATGTCCCGCAACAAATTGCAACCATGTGTTCAAGGAGCGCCGGGACAACTTCGTCTCGCACCTGCTCCTCCACAAGCAGGGCAAGTCCAGCAGGACGCCGTACAACGAGAAGGCCGCCAAGCTCTACGACGAGATGTGCCTGCAGAGCAAGAGCCGCAAGCGCGTCAAGACCGGCAGCGGCAGCTCCAGCTCCAGCTCCAGCTCCAGCAGCAAGAACTGAGGTCGAGTGCGCCTGGCGCGGCTGTGAGACACGCAGGCCCGGGGGCTTGCGCTGCGGCCGAGAAAGAGGAGAGGGGACCTGCCAAGACGCGGGATGGCAGCAAAATTACGGCCGTTCAACCTCGCTATCCTTTGCGAGACAGGGCTGCTGCGCCTGGCACGCCACGCTGCGTGCTTCCTCCCCATCCTTGCAACGACATGACATGGGGGAGTTGGGGGCCCCGGGTGCCTTTGACCGCACCAACCAACCAACCAACAAACTGTTAAACAACAAAGTCACACAAAAAATTCTTAACCTGTAATAACTTTTCATGTTCCGTTGCACCAACCAAAACCAAGTTTTTGATTCCCGCGGGAGGCGTTCGTCAAGGAAATTGTCTGCATATTTTACATTGTTTCAGAGTTGGGAAGGGGGGGTCAGTTGGAAGGCAGGATGCTTTTGCTTTATCAGAGGTTTTATGGTGGCATCGGTTCTTTTTTACTACTACGCAACGACGTTACATGCATTCTTTTCTACGATTTACTCGACAAAACCACACACACAAAAGACGAGACACACATATTTTTATCATCAGACACAAAAACCTTTGTTCGGAATTGGAGACAAAAAAGATGTGAGAAAGATTGAAGGTGGGAGAGGAGGACTGCGGATTAGGGTGGTGCAAAGGCGCGAATTCCTGGGAGGAGAGGCCAACTTGTTTGTCTTAGTCTACCGTGGCGGCGGGATTCTGAAAGTCAACGGCGAAAAAATGGATCGGGAGGGGGCGGCAGATGACAGCTGAATGATGATGTTGCCCATCTGAGATCTCTCTTGATACACTGTACTACTCTGTACTGGCGAGGATACGAAGATCACTTTTTTTGCGATGCAGGCACGAGTGGAAGATTAGACAGATTGCTACACCATGAAGAGACAGCAAGAAGAGAGATAGCTGAGAACCGAAATCAAAACAGGACACATGCATGAGCGGGTCTTCCGCTATCGCAGTCACAAAAGATTTCAATGCACATTATTTGGAAGCAAAACAGCGAAAAACATCAAACGTTTGGTCATTTCTCTCGTGCGTTAGTCCCGTCTGCAGCTTGTTGAGGAAAAGCAGAACGACGCAGGTTCGCAGCACGCCGCGCAGGTCGCAGACGCAATCTTGGTTCAGCTTGCATCGTGCATGCCCTCTTCGGCCGTTTGGGAAATCGCAGTGGGGCCATGATTGGCGCAAGTACCGAGGCGTTCCCGATCTGGGCCTTCTTTTGCCTTTGCAAAGTAGCATCACTAATTCTCTCTCCCCCCTCCCCATCGTGCCTTGCGCGGTAGCATTCTTGGAGGGCCCTATCGACGAGCACTAAGCTGAGGTGAACCCTCCTCTCGAGGCTCATCTCGGCAGGTCCCTGTGCTGATCCCGACCGAGCGTGCGAGTTTAGGGTGCTGGCTGCTCCACTCACGCGCGTAAGGTGGATGGGAATAAAAGCTGGTTCGGTTGACATGCCTGTCTCAGATTCGGCGAAGACGCCGTGAGGGACGACTGCCATGGAACGTCCCTGTATATGAGGACAGCTGTACTGGTAGGTTCCGAGCCGTTCATCTCATCTCCGCTCAGATTGTGACTGTGCTCCATTATGTTAATCCAGAGGCGGAAAGGGTTCGTTCAACGGGCGCGGTTCAGGCCGTCCAGGGCCGTTTTTGTGAGCGATGTGGGCTCGGGAAAAGCTTCCGTGGTCCTTTTGGGCCCCCCTGTGAGCAACGAATGGGGGAAGATGGGCTGGATCACGGGACGAGGCGGATGGAGCCAGAGGGGCGCGCGAAGGGGACAGGGGCGATATCGCTGGAATCTAGGGGCTCGGTGGGAGATGGCCGAACGGCGACGATGATGGCATGGCAGGGGGTTGTGCATCAGGGGCAGGGGCGAAAATGCGAGATGGTGCGATGGGCAAAAGCCAGACTGCAGACGCCGGCAATTAGGGGACAGATGGGATATCGGAGAAGAGTTGGAAAAATCTCCGTCTGGCTTGTCTTGAAGGGGTTTGGTGATCGGGGGAAAGGCGGCGGCCGAGGGTGGATGCCGTGTAACCGCCAAACGTCGTCGCGGTTCTGGCGCTGTGAGCGAAGTTTTTGTCTTTCTGTTTCTGATATTTCACCACTGCCTAGTTCTACATAGTCTTTTTTGGTCGTCTGTCTACATCGGTCGTCGAAGTGACCGCTGTCCTTGGTAATAGCCGATCTCGGTCTTGTCACTTTGTAAGCCCCAAATTAGGTTTGGTGTGCATCTCGTTTCCTTGTTTATCTGAGCTGTCAATATCAGTCATAAATGATGGAAAGATTGGGCGACTTACAATCAGGCCATCATGTAGCATCTTCCAATCTAACCAACGCTCGGATCTGAGTCTTCATTGAACTCTGAAGAATGGATGATCCCATACGGCGTCGATCTTGGCCGGTAGCTCGGCATGCAACCAGGCGGAGGATTTTTTTCTTTGCTGAGATGCAACTATTGAGTGTACGTTTCAGGTTATGGCTTTGTTGTGTTCGTTTCGTCGCACAGCAGGAGATGCAGCTGATCGAATGCGGGCAGCTGCGCCATCTGGTTTGCCTGCTGCAGCTGCCCATCCTCGAACGCAGGGGTGACCGTTCCCGAGGCCTAGGTTGCAACGGTGACAATCACGTTATGCTACCAGTCGGGGATTTGTTAATTGAGCTGCTGATCGTAACAAACATGTTTCGATGTTTCTTTACGGATGTTTCCTGCGTCTTTCATTTACTTCAAACAACAGTTGTTCTCGGCCGGAGCCATACGGTGGCACGCCATATGAAAAGAAAACAGTCGCCTTTACTTTGCATACCCGCAAAGCAAACAAATGCACGAGTTGAACGGCAAGACCGAGATTCAGCTTATGTTAGCTGTATCCGTAGATGGTGGCTATACACTAGGCTGCAAGATATCGTCTTGGAAAATATCGAGAGCATGGATGTGAGCGGAATTCCGCCATCGATGATCTGCTTACGCTCGGTCGTGATGATTGCCATCATAACAGGGTATACAAGCTTGGCGATTGCTTGTTCCAGCTGAATGAGTGGATGAATTAAGGTGCGGTGTTGATGTGATTGACAGTTGACGGGGGGCCGAAGCGCAAACCTTCCCCAAAGCAAGGCTTCAAAGCCGAGGAGTGCGCCGTGCGCTGATGTGGGACGCGCCGGCGCTCGGCCGGCGACACGGGTAGCGGAGCTTTGGGTGGATTGGTCCGGGGAAGCCGTCATATGGGGCTCGGTGGGTCCCGGAGGCGCCATTAGCGCCGAAGCAGCCTCCCGACCCCGGCTCGTGTCACTTCTCTTATTCCGTTTCAGCTGGCAACTGTATTTGAAGGAAGAGATTATTGATTATCGCGTCTAGGCAACCTCTAATGGCTTGCTAGCAAACGGGGAAGGCTGGCGGATGTGGCGTAACTGTTCAAGCCTCCGGTCATTATGTAATCCAGCAGAAGCGGCGGCAAGCCCATCCTGGCCCCCACGGAGCCTGTTCCCCATCATTTCCGTCACATTGTTTATTCGTGTGCAAAGCAATTCAATACGTACGGACGAACCGCGTGGAGATGCACCTCACGCCCTCAGCTTCGGCCGGGATGCCTGACGTCAAGCAGCAGCCAACACTCAACATGAGGCGACAGAAGCAATCGGGCGGCCCAGCAAGCCTCGTTGCCTGCTTCACCTGTCCGTAGACAGGTGTGGTGCGCCCGGACTGTGTCTGTCTTGTCAATCTGTCAATCCGACTGGCAACGGCGTCCGTCCGTCACTGTCGTTGGGCAAACACACGTTGGACACGTGCGACGGTGCCACCACCTCGTCAATTCGTCTCATCGTCCGATCGCCTGCGCTTACTTGAACCACCAACACCACCATCTCATCCCAACAGCACCGACGACAGACGACAAACGACAAACGCGGGGCCCCTCGGTTAAATCGCCATTTCGTCGTCATTCTGGCACATCGTCGCTCACTGGAACGAGACCTGCATCATTCGCATTTCTTTCACCACCCGCGTTTCTCGCGCCACTTTCTTTTTTTTCTTGCTGCACAGTAAGGTACTGTTCGGCTCGCGGGCATTTCCTGCATGGCAGCAGCAGTCGAGGTCGCCGCATCCTCGTCGACGTCTCCATCGTCGTCTCTATCGCCATCCGTCACTGTCCGTCGTCATTTGCCATCGTCCGCCATCGTCCGCCATCGCCCACCATCATCAACCAGTGGAGGATCATCCGCTGTAACGCATCGTCCGCCGACAAGCTGTTTCATCAGGCGACAATGGCCCAAGACACCCAATTGCCATCGTACCAGGATGCTGTCAGCAGGCTCGACTGGCTTGAGCTTGTCGCACCATACGTTGAGTACAAGGACTTCTCCAGCCTTTGCTCTGTGAGCAGGCATTTTTATGCAATATTCGCTCCCCGCCTCTGGAACGACCCGTTGGTTGCCGTCCGCCGATTGGGACTGGATCCCAGCGACGACCTTAGCTGGTACCTCACTTTTGCTTTCGATCGCGTGCAGCACATTAGACAGTCTACCCTGTCCCTCATCACCACCCTTGACTTCCGTGTGTTCGCCAAGGACACCGCCCACTTCCACAATACCAACAGGACAATACCAGAGACCCTGCGTTTATTACCTAGAGTACTTCCAAACCTTCGGTGTATTTTGTTGGACGGTCACACCGAGGCCGACCCGGCCACTTTGAATGCGGCCCCAAATTCGGGGGCGAAGCCCCCGCTGTTGGTGCTGAGCATGGCGCACTGCGAGGCACAGCTGCCGTCGGCTTTTTTCACCTCCAACGTCCTCCAACACCTCGTCTATCTTGATGCATCCGGTCTTCCGGGCTCCCTGCAGCCGCTGTTGGCGGCAGCTCACGGACGTCGCCATCTGTGCCATCTGAAGGTCCTCAAAGCAAGACGTCGGGAGATCAACGACGGGCTTGCTTTGCAGCTTTTCCAAGCTTTCAAAGGCAGACTGTGGAGCTTAGACCTCAGTGAGAACAACATTACCGATGCAATCATTGACGAGTTCGTCGCATTTTGCTTCAATAGTCCCTCGTTACGGTCTCAGTCCCGGTTCATGGCGGAAGGTAAACTGTCATCCGACGGCCACGGTAATGACTCCCACGGCAGATTCGTCTCTATCCATGAGTCTGACTGGAGCGGCACCTTCAAACACCCGGAGCGACACTTCGTCGATGCCCCAGTGTACTCCGCCGATGCGACTCGGGACCTGCAGGAGGACGAAGCAGTCCGGCCCAATGGCAGTGCGCCATTAAGGCGAGACATCGCGGATCACGTTAAGGCCGCACTCGCAGGAAGTATGGATCGGCCGGTACCTGCTTGGGCCGAGGTGCCGCATCTCGACGTCTGCACTGCGCCCGCCGGGATCACGCATCTGCACATCTCAGACACGCATATCACCTCTGCAGGCGTTGAGAGGTTGATCAGAAGCTCCCAAGGCCAGCTCGAAGAGCTGTCTTGCGATGGCCTGGCCTTCCAACCCGTGCAGCGATCTGATGCGAGGCAGTCGCTCCCATGGCCAAAGGACGTGCGGCTATCCGGTGTCTTGGGTTGCTCGCACGTGTTCCGACCTGTGTTCTCGTCCAATCTGAGGGCTCTTCGGGTTCACCATTCGCTTGTTACCCAGATACCAACACTGGAGGTAGAGGCCTTCTCAAAAATGGCGTGCAACTGGCTGGCGGAGACCACCGTCCGGGAAAGGTCCGAAATGGCCTTCTCTCAGGCGTTTGAGCCAGATATGAACCCCCGACTGACATCGCTTACCTTGACTAATATCCCCCGCCGGTCAAATGGGCCTGTAATTGAGATCTTGGTGCATTTCCTAAAACTTTTGGGTTTACAAGAGCGGGCAATACAAGAGACGTCGTCGTCGTTGTCGGTGTCCATGTCCTCCACTCGGCGTTGCCCTGCACTGCTCCGCGGCGTCCGCCATCTTCGTCTCGAATTTGAGGCTGAATCAACAGAGGACTCCGCAGGGTTCTCGACATCAGACGACCTAGATGCCGGGGATCTTCTGGACGGAGGCGAGTGCTTCAGCTTTTTCAGCGACGAGCTGCATCAGCCCCGCCCCCAAAACGCCACCAAAAAGCAAGCGGCAGACGTCGAGGCCACTGCCATGCACCTGGCTGACCCGGCAACGGGCCGCTTTACTTTCTTTCCGTTCAGTGAGTATGAGGGTGAATACATGGACTTTCCCGATACATGGCATGGGCAATCTTTCCAACGAAAAGTCTGGATTGGACCCGGTGTGCCGGCTCCCGCCGCAGTTAATGAGTATATGAAGTTAGTACAACACTCAGTGCTCAGAACCAGAGTCGGTCCCGCAACACCTGACCACATCAAGGCGGGGGTTCCACCGGGCGCACTGCTCTTCCATGCCGCGTGGGACGCTATTGTCATGCCACCGGAGCTGAAGCCTCCGAAGCCCGCAGAACTCCACGGAATGCGGGATGTTCTGGAGGCGATAAAGAAATTCCGGCTCGAGAGCAGGGCTGAATACGAGGCAGCAAAGAAGGCGGCCGTTGAAGGCATGGCTGGAGTTAGCAGACCTCTCCAGCATTCCTTTTGGTCCGGAAAGCTCGAAGTTTCTATTCAGCAGAGCGTGGCACACTATCGAGCGCCAAATTACTGGCGGTAGCAGCTTTCAATGTTCAAATGTCTCTTTCGCAACGTTTTGTTTCTGACTCGTCTCTTTACGGTGGTTCAGTCCCAAAGCATTTTGGTCATTTGTGATATATACGTTGTTTTGGAATAAGTATGAACAGGAAAGAAGAAGGGGATCCAGCTTCTCAAAGACACTAATGCCAAATCCGCATGTCTGTCTCAGCTTGCGCAGAACTCCACAACTAACCAACTGACAGCTCATCCGCACTAGCGTTCGCGAGCTGACCTAAGCCCACACTCACACTCACTCAGTTGAGGACCGCAGTGTACGCCGAGGTGGTGAAGACGGCGTTTGAGCCGACGAAGGGCTCGGTGCCGGCGCCGATGCTCTGCAGGATCTGGGAGGAGGGCAGGCCCTGGCTGTTGATGAGGTAGGTGACGAAGGCCTTGAGGTCGCCGCTGAAGCTCTGGACGTTGCTGGGGGCGACGAAGCTGAAGACGGTCATCTGGCCGTTGGTGCCCTTGTACAGGTTCCAGGTGCGGCCGGCGACGGTGGGGGTGGCGATGGTGCTGCCGGTGGCGGAGATGGGGCCCGCGCCGCCGAGGGAGCCGAGCCAGATCATGATCTCGTACTGCGCGGAGCCGGAGGCCGTGGAGGAGGTGAAGAGGTCGTAGGCGACGTTGGCGACGAGGCCGCTTCCGGAGTAGCTTTGTGTTGTCATGTTAGCATTTTCCTCTCATTTCGACGGTTAGGGGATGGCAAGGGGATTTTGATCACGTACCTCCAGTTCCAGGTCGACGGGATGCTGCCGATGGAGCTCAACGCCTTCTTGGTGATGCTGACGACGGCGTTGGCGTACGACTTGACGTTGTACTGGCCGCCGGACCAGCTCCACTTGGTAGACCAGACCAGGTTGCTGCCGGACAGGCCGGTCAGGGTGGTGCACTGGCTGCCGGTGCCGGAGGACATGCCCCAGAGGTTGTTGTAGACGGTGTAGGTGCCGGTAACGGCGGAGTCCCACTGGCCGCAGTAGGTCGACGCGCGCTTCTCGACGGTGGGTGTCGGCGTGGCGAGGGCCGCAAGGGGCATGAGGGCGAGGATGGCGGAAAACTTCATTGTGACGGGACTCGGGACTGGGAGTGTGGGGCCGGGTGCGGGATCAGAGACGGGCTTAGGGCAGAGATTAGATGAACTGATTCGGGCTGGAGTAGGCGATTACACGATATCGATGGCCATCATATTTATACATATGTCAAAGGTCGGATGTGCGATGATTTGTTTTGAGTTTCTTGACGATAATAGAACAAGCTCCATCACTCATGTATTTTCCCGTCAGCCGGCTTCAATTCAATCCATGTGGAAGACCCCGTTCATCCGCGCGAATGGTTACACTGATTTCATAGCTCCCATTCAGAAAGGTAACCTACCTTCCGTAAAGACCCCAGAAGGGGAGGTCACGAGAGATCTAACATGTCAGGGGCTGACAGCTTATTTACCTGGGGCAACGATGATCATGCCCTCTCCTGATTTAACGTCCCTGTCGGCGGCAATTCGACAGCACAGTCACATCTGAGCTAGCACTAATTCTCGTGTGCGATTGGCGGCTCCGGGGGTGCTGTCGGGAACCGGAAGACGGGGCACACATGTTGCGGGGATTTGTCGAAACCACGAATCAGGGGAACCCGGGTGTTGGGGAGACGGCAGGAGAATCACAAGTGACGCGATATGCTCGGTAGCTCTTCCTCGTATCATCCAACTCAAATTCGACCACTCATTCACGCTGTGCTAAAGAATCTATGTGGACTATATCTCAAAGTTCCCATTTTGCAGTCTAGATGTCATTCAAAGTTCGGAATAATTGACAGAATCTTCACCAAAGCCAAGGCTTGAATTTCCTGGTACTGCCGACATAGCTTGGCGCATCCACTGATTCCACTCTCATGAATCTCTGCGTCGACGGGATTCACGGGATATTTCCTTGCCCTGGTACTGGAACTGGGACTGCCGGCGAATGCGGGGTTGACTGCCGCATCCGCACCCCGGACTCCGACCTGGATGGTGGGGTAGCAGGCGGGATCAAACCTCTGGGATTGGAGGGAATGAAGAAGACCGTCAGTTTTGGGAAGCGCAGCGGAGAGTTGTGCGAATTGAGCCCTCTGTTCACATGGATCATTTACTTGACTGCGTTGCTCTTCGCCTGACAGCTCAACGGTATGGAATTTCACAGACACATTGATCATCCGTTGCCGGCTACTCCAGGCGGATGGGCTTCGGGGTTAGTCCCGGAGTCTGGCTGCTCCGCGCTCCGGTCCCATAAGGTAGGCAATACATTACGCACATGGTACACTCGATCGGGTCTCCCAGGCGATCTCCTGATTGACGATTTTGTCCCCGATCGGCATCGGCAACATCTCTTAGCCATTGCCTAGTGTTGGTTAGGACTCAATATTCTGTTTCAAGAGGGAGATTCAAACGAGATGGGATTCTAACTCTTCCTCACGCGCGACTCCATAATTCATTTACCGATTGACGTCACTTGCAACCAGCCAGAGAGCGAAGATGGCTCCGGGCTCATCAAGGCATTTCATGTCAGCTTAGGCTGAGAAACAAGCGACATACGGGCAACCAACGGCATCATATTCCAGCCATGAAGACTCAATTGAGATAGAAAGACATTTCCAAACAGCCTATTGTGAGTGAGCTGGCGCCATGGCTCACTTCAGCTGCTCCCCGCCGTGAGCCCTCGTGGTGAAGAAGGCCTGGCTGACAGCGCCACTCAGTCTCCAGTTCTTCCCAAAACCTTCCGAATGGGAAGATGCAAAGGAGAACCCTCGCGGAGGAAATATTCACTGAATTGTGAGATTGTGATAATTGACAAAGGCTGCGATAATTGGGTTTTTTTTTTACCCCTCCAGGCGTTCTTCGTTAGCATGGCGATGGCCATGACGGCGTCGAGAACTCAGTAACTCTCCCATGTTTGGTTTTTCCACACGCTTGTCTGCTAGCCTCGGGGTGGAAGCCTCTGAGAGGAATGGTTTTACATCGCCAGTTTTTTTTTTTTCTTGGTCTTCGTATCTGCGCTTCGCGTGGCCAGCGGTTCTTACGGATATGAGATGTGAGCTGGGAAGGGTCATCCACCATGGCTGGGTAGATTACGCCATTTGGAGGGAAGACGCCAGTGAACATTGAACGCCTCCCAAGAGCTTGAGGGCGCCAGGGCCCAGCGACCCCCCGGGGGACGCGTCTGTTGGTGACCCTTTTCCCACAATCTTGGGACGATCGACCCCGAACCTGGCAATTGTCTTGGATGCATGTCTAGCCTTTGTCCTTGGGCCTTCCTTGCCCCTGGCCCGCGGACGTGCGTCGTGCCTGGCATCTGGTGGAGCCGGTCCCCGACGCGTCGCGACGGGGTCCACGATGACAAGTTAGCGATAGTGGTGATGGTTGGGCGAGGACAAGGGGGGGCGTGTTGGTACTTAGCGGCGGGTTCAGCTGAGTAGCGCGGCCGGGAGAACGGACGCAACTCTAATCCGAAGACATTGCTTTTCGTGAGCCCGGGGCGTGTGAGATTGTTGACTCTGAACTCGTGTCTTTCGTAAACGCACAGGAGAGGGTTTGTGTAGGCACTAGGCTTCCGGGACGAGGATACGAAACCCCGAGGAATGGGATTTGAGTTGTTGTGAATCCCTGAGGGCAACTCAACACCACACTGTCTCATCTGGCGTGCGTTCCCGATCGGAGCTGTCCATGGGTGGGAAGCCTTAGGCAGGATTAGACGGAAAAGGTTCCACGTGCTTGGGACCATGTGCAGTGAAGTCGAGGAGGCTCAAATTGCCCAGAAGGCAGAGATGAAAGGGTGGTGCAGGTGAAGTCACACTGTGGCAGGGGTCGAAAGGAGACGGACTGAGACACTAGAGGTGAGCCGGCCGGGACGGCTTTTGCGGGCCTGTCTGGGCCAGGCGCGGATTGGACAGACCGAGGAACGGGCACTATCGGGGAATGAGACGTGGTAAATCGCGCGGGCGGGAGCCTAAAGGCCCAGCGTTGAATGTGTGTGTGTGTGTGTGTGTGTGTGTGTGTGTGTTTCTCGGTGGCTTGGCTCTCATAACGGGCTAGACTTGGCCTGTTTGATGTGTGTGTCTATCTTGACATTCTCTACCCACGATTCAGTAGATTCGGGGTCGAGACAAAATGGACTGGCATGTGTCGGATGAGGCACTTGCAAAGTTCTACTAGTTCTCTTGTCCGGCTTGTTCCCATTGTTTTCCACGGGGGCTAGGCGTGGTTCGGGCGAGCTGACCACGCGTCTTGATGCTGGGAAGAATGCAATGTTTGAGAAACGCCTTCAAGGGGAGTTTCATGAAAGACTTTGTGACGATGGAGGGCGGAAGGCGGATGGAGAACTTTCAAACGTGTCGCCGAATACCTTGTTGATCTTCGATATCTCAGACGACGATCTCATAAGGCCGTACGGCTGTGCGGATGGGGAAACGGAAATGAGGCTTGATACCTGTGTCTTGTGGCGTCCTTGACGTGCGTGATATCTCTGCACAACCCTTCATGCCCCGTCTTGCATGTGGGCTTGCTTACGGGCGCTGTCCGGATTCTCAGTACATGCATGTCTCTCCCCGATATCTGCAGGTCGACACATTGGGAAAACTACAACTGCGTTTGGAGGTTAGTCTCGCTGCCTCCAGGGACGAGGCTACGGAGCGCCACTAGGGTATGCAGGAAGATAGGATCCGGGGAATGTTGCAGGTGTGTGAGTGGGCGTGGTGGGCGTGCGTGAGAGTCGCGTTCTGGGGGGGAAAAGACTTTCCAGTTCCCCTTCCTCGGTCTTGGATTCTGCGACAGGTCGGTTTTCATGGGTGGTTTGCTGCTTTCCGGCCCCCACTTGAACTGAGATCCATGCTTGCGAGGGGTCCCCAAATGACTAACGGCCTTGTCCTGGGTTTTTGTGGTTTCTGTCTTTGGCAGCCAGAGGTATTTGCGATTGGTGCATTAGCGCCTCCCAGCTGAGCAGCCCGCAGGACTCTTGCAGCCCTCGATCGAGATCTCGATGACGACGGGCTGGTGCTCCGGGCGTTGGTGCCGGGTACCTGAGTTCGTAGCAGCGGCTGAAGTCCGAGGAGGCCTATGGCTGTCGCCGAAGACCTCAGCCCCTGTTCGGGGATCGATGAGCAGGGAAAGATGCCCCCAGTTTCGACATGTTGGCTATCAACTTGGCATAAGAGAGTGCTGGAATGTCAGGTCTTCATTGATGCCCGTCAAGTCTCACGAGCAAGCCTTAGTCCACTTGCGGCGCCCGCCGTTCTCCGTCTACTTTCTCGCGGAATGAGGCAGGTGAAATCCGGTGACGGTGGAAACCAAGGCTCTTGTGCACCCCCCCAAATAAGTTATCGGCAGGAGCGGAAGTTCAGGAACTGAAATGAGGGATTGTCACATCGCGGTCCTAATCACATCCCAAGCCAAAGGTTTTGTTCCATCAGGCAGTTCTTGTCCTGCAATGCAACCGCACCATGGTGACTGATAGACCATGATGTAATCTTCTGGTCTGTTCCTTTAAGAAGCATGGGAGAGCACTTTTGAAGAAGCAGCTGTAATGTTTGTAGACTGCTATAGAACTTTTATCCTCGCAGTTTCTGTCTTAATGTTTTGAGATATAGTACTCCAGAGTCCAGATAATGTAGTTATAGACAGTGATCGAGTTCTGGAGATCTGACTTCACCCATTTGACGACCGCGACTCTCTGCTGATTAGCGGGCAATCTTGTCGTATTATACCTGCTTGAAAAATATCTCTCCAGTAAACAAATCGAAGAAGCCAATCAACGGTCATGCTGCTGCTGAAAGTTGACCTGGATATCAAGGGATAGAGCGTGTTGTTTTGAAGGTCTCGTGAAATAACTCGAGTTTGACGGCGAGTTGAGAGTACAGATGATCCGTTCGACGGATTCATCTCTCATCAATTTGCCCTGATAAACCTTTCTTCACCGCTGTGTCCAAATGATTTCGTCCCAAGAACCCCGCTCGTTGTTTCGTTGGAACAAACGACCATTGTGGAACCGGAAAAGGCTTCCGTATTCGTAGACCAGGTGGCCAGTCTCTTCGATATCTAGTGGCGTCTCCTCAATGGTTGGATCTTCTTCAGTTATGGCGTCTACGGCTTCAGCAGCCCGAACTGGAACTTCAGGTTTGCGTACTGATAGCTTCACCTTCTTTGCTGCTATCACTGTCTGTCATGTGGATTAGCGTTATCTGGCAATCCGGTATCATTTGACCGATGCGAAAAAGGGGAGATATTCTCACCTGACCGATCAAGGCCTGAACAGCTTGTACATCTCCCACGTCGCAATCCACGTAGCGGACTGACTCCAGTGCTTCAGCCAATTTTCTTCCACGAACGGAGGATGCTGCAAACTTGGCAAGATCTTCATCCCGAATTTTCTCATCACGCCCTTCATGAGTGCCGACGATGATATATGGAACACCAGGAAAGATCCCAGAGATCTCCGGTACCCAACGTTCCCCGACTGATTGAAACTGGGTATCGGAGTATTTTCGCGAAAGAAATAGGAAGACGTCTGCTTCCGAACATGTCATATTCATGAGAGAAGAATAATCCTCCACTCCAGTCGTATCGTGAAGCTCGAGGTCAACATAAATGTCATTCAATCTGATGAGCGTCAGCTGAAGTCGCAATAGCTTGCTTCCTGGAAGCAAAGTTCATTATTCCAAAAACATACCTCACAGTGCTTCGCGAGCAATCAGACCCCTTTGGGATGTCTGCATGTGCTGCAACTGGGGCATCGCCCATGAAAGTGTGAATCATCTTGCTTTTCAAAGCGTTCGAGTCCCCTATCACGACCACTCTGCATGAAAATGAGCCGAATCTCATCCCAAGGTTGATATCTAAACTCACTTTACTTTTGGCAAGACTTTCGATGACTCCATATTTGGCACTCTTCTTACTACAGGGATCTCAGGAGTCTCCACGGAGGTTGATATAAAACTTCGTATAGAAGTCTGTCGGTTCCAAGCCATTGCAGGCCTCGGGTACGATGTGTTTTGGATTGTAGCCCCCCTTAACTTACCCTGCGGGCGTACAGGAAGAGCTTGATCCATGAACATGGCGGAGAAGGTTGACCCTGGGGCAACCAAGTGTATGTCATTAAGGGTGATGGGTAGGCGGAAGGCAGAAACGACTGAGATGTCATTTAGACTGAGACCGGAGAGCATGCTCCACGCATTTGTGGGCGCAGTTGACGTTGTGTAAGATACGTCGCACTGATTCGAGTGAGAACGACTGTACACTCTCGACCTTTGAAGAGCAATCTCAAAGTCCCATCTTGCAAAATCAACTTGTCTCGAAGACATGGACGACGATGGCCTGGCTCTTGAAAATGGTAACGAAGTCATACTGCGTAGTGAGCGGCGACTGGACATGATTGACATTGCGTCATCCATGAACTTGACGGATCGAACATCTAAAGGACCTCGGTCTTCCATAAGCCGCAAATGTTGGCCGAGAGTTCTGTTCTGCTCGAGGACCTGCTCCATCTTGACAAGCATCTCATCGTAACAGCGAAGCGCCTCAGCGTTGGAGTGGCTACAAAATAGTCAGCCTCGTCATGTAAACGGAAAGAGATTTGATTGAACGATGCCTTTGGAGAACGCTGACGATTAACGTTAGCGACGCCTTTTGAGACTCTAATCGAGGTAAAAGACTCAAGACCCTCTTCTCGTTCCAAACCCATCGCAACCGATACCGGAAGCCATCCTTCTGGCAAACGAGCGATTCAAGCTTTGAGAGGGTAAAGACTGCATTCGTAATGATAATAGCGAGATGCTCTAGTTGAATCAATCCTTTTCGAGATGCTGAAAGATGATGAAGCGAGTCTATCATGGACTGAACGGAAGACAATGCCAGCTTGATCTCCCCAACGGCCTCCAGTGTTGCCGCTGCCGACTGTGGCGCATTTGCAGTGCTGTCGATGAACCCGGATACAACGGTGTAGACCTTTCCAGCTGCAGCCAGTAGGCCTGCAATGGAGGCGGCAATGCTTAGAGGGTCTGCCATTTGGGGACTTAAGTGCCTGAATGTATAGTCAGTCAATTAACAATAGATCTACCAGCCCGCTCCGAATGTCCTTTTCTGGGGATTTAATATGCTTGACATGCAACACCCATCGCGGTGCCTTTCAGGCCAATATGCAGGGGGTAAAAGCTAGTTGCAGACCATGATACCTGGGCTGCATCGAAGACGCGCTGTCCTGCAGCCTGCTGTAGACCCTGGTTATTTGCCTAATCTCAGCGCACTTATTTCAGCTGCGCCCCGCGTTGTCAACCAGTAGAAAACACCAAAAAGCTGAAGATGAATTAGCGAGCCAGTAGGAGACAACTCGAAGATTTCTCCCCGTAAGGAAATTACACAGCCCCTTCGTTTACGCTTGAGGCGTCGGACTTGAATGGCAAGGCATCGTGAGGCAACCGCAACCCTGGCTTGCCGGTTCTCAAGGCGTTATTGGTGTATGCTGGCGAACTACCCCGACATCAGCTGATAAAAAATGCTCAACATGGAGCTTTCGACTGGGGATTGTTGATGTCTAACCGGTCGTGCGTGGTCTCGATTCTCAGTGCAGATAAGTTGCTTAACCCATCGCATTGGAAGCGTCCTCCGTTTATTTGATTTGCCGTGTTCTCCAAACTGGAACTTCAAGTTGAAGGCACATGCCAAGCCTGCCTGTCTCCGTGTCAGCCACACCTGCACCTTGAGCGCTGGCTTAGATTTCGGGGACACTCTGGGACAATTTCGCAGCAATCTTGCCGCCTTGATTATAATTACTCCAACATCGAAGCTTCCGCCTTCATCACTGTCAACTCAAGTGCGAACACTCATCTCACCGCCGTCAAGATTCGCTCATATCATGTGTCATACTTTCCATTCGTCCGGCATTTTAGTTTCGGTCGATCTGTTATGCCCCGGATGCTGGTTAGTGGTGACTGCATGCGTAGTGCTCTGGCGCGGGAGGCAGACATGAGACAGTATTTGCTTAGACTCGTTGAAAGAAATCAACAGCATTTGATAACAGGCTCTTAGCCACGCACTGCGATTATTTTGGCAATCTTTGGTATACTAAAACATCTATCAAAGTCATTAAATCTATCCAGAAAATGAAGGTGAATTCTGGCATTTCTACAGGTCAACTAGCCCAGACAAGGCTGATTTAGGGAGAGCTTGAGTGAAAGCATTGTCCGAATAAGCCCAGGTTGACACGTATACGAGTAAGTGCCCTGAGATTTAAGGCTGGAGACAAAATAAGGGACGAAGAGAGAAAGCTGCTTGTATGTTTGCATGAATTTGGCGACATGGCCGCGTCGCTTATGTAGATACAATCCGGCCATGAACAAAACCTGGCGGGACAAATCCCCGCGACCAAAGACGTTGTCGAGACCAACAGGGAATGGGTTAAATCATTCGTAGATAAATTGCTCCAAACTGAGGAAGAGTCTCAATCGCGATGGCTTGAAATATATTCTCCATCGAGTCTCCGCCGTCGATATTCTGCAACCCTTCAATCAACTCCTTGCAACTAAGCTCATTCGGCTTCATAGGGCCTTCGGCAAAGTCAGCATCTTGAAGACTTCGCATCATACCCCCTCAACGAGGCATTAGAAGATGCAGAGATTTGACATACACAACGTTCAGCACTCCGGATCTCCGTTGTCGCAGCAGACAACTTGCGTGTCCGTTCCGCGCAGGAAACAAGTGTTTGCGGGGCAACCACCGTCGTAGAAGTTGCAGTCAGCCGAGACAGTGGCCGCCCAAAAGAGAGCCGCAACAAGGGCGATAATGTGGTTGGACAGCTGCATTTTTGTTTTGGTGCGATTAAGTTCGAGATGAGGTAGTTGAGAAGACGTTCTCCAAATCTGGGATATCTCGGCGACGTGACTTTATACTTAATTCGAACGCTTTTTAGTATGGCCAAATGTTGATGCTCACTTTCGGCGTAGCCGACGCCAGTGACTGAACATTCAAAGGCTATGTTTACTCATCACGGCGTAGCTGGGTCTTTTGCGAAAGCGAAGGTTTGGATTATACTGCTTTCAAGTATTTGCCAGGGATGATGTGCTAAGACAGGAACTGAAATGCGCTGATCTGTGTTGTGTACCTGAGCAACCTGAGTCGTACGTCATTATCTGAGCCGTTCAGAGAGCGCGGGTTAGCCAGACTACTTCTCGAGACCCAGGGGGCCCCTTAAAATAAATAAAGTTTTCTCAGTCTCGTCACAACCCTGCGGTGGAGCATGAAGGGGTTGAATTGTTAATCAATAACAACACAAGTACGCAGACAGTCTTCTTCCACAGCATGGCGAATTGATTCAATTCGAAAGACAAGATACATGCAACCGTCCTGACATTTTATCTCTTCACGCCTTCTTACTCCGCCTCGGCTTCGGGGACTTGGCCATAAGCCACATGGCTATAGCGAGTCAACATCAGCCCACCGGAGCCTACTGCATAGATCGAGGTGTAGGGGTACTTACAACTGCGTATAGCCATGGTAACGGTTAGACATCATCTCTTTTCGCACTTCGGCGAAGAGCACCTGGGCCTCCACTTGAGTCCACCCAAGGACTGAGGTAAAGAGCCTCATATTATAAGCTTCGAGCCCGTCCATGATCTGGATCACGTTCATATGCCCAAGATCTTTCAGACGCGCATCCTTCGGCCATGTGCCTATCGGAATCTTGAACATTTTGTGGCGAATGTTAACGAATCCAGCGTCTTTCAGCCAGCCCTCAAGTTGAGGGCCAGGGCATGGGTCCCGGCCTATCATCTGACAAGCCTCAAGAAACATTCTGTCCATCTTCATAGTGTAAGTATCTTCGGTGAGAGTGCCATCGTCGCAATAATAGACAATGTCCCAGTCTTGGAATTCAGCCCAACCGCCTGGATTAGTGTTCCTAAAATTCGTTGGTTAGCAGAACGGCCTTCAGAAGACGGCTGATTTAGCTGCTTACTCGAAGACATTCTTCGCCAGTTGAGGCCAGTCTGCAATTGCTCCCGCCATAGTACGGCTGAAGATGAAGTCATACTTTGGCCCGATCCAAGGGCTCTCGACGTCATCAACTTCGAATTTGACATTAGGCGGAACCCTAATCATTCAGCATGACTTGAGAAACACATGGGCGTCAAAGATAACTCACCATTCCATCTGAACGGGGCTCAGATCGTTTCCAATTACCTAGAAGTATTAGTGTCAGGAGAGTAAAAGCTCTTGAGTGCAGCGTACCTCAGCATTGGGAAACTCATCGGCAATCTGAACGGCCCCTTCGGGTTGTTAGTGGTGGTTAGAAGGGACGCGGGAGATTGACCCACAAATTCCGGTTCCGGTGCCAATATCCAGGATTCGATGGACCCGATTGGAGTCAATTGGAGCGTGATAAAGCTTCCCCTCCATCACTTTAATGAGGAAATCAGACAGAAAGTCAAGACGGTCGAGCTCGGCCTATCAGTAAATGCTAGTGTTAGAAAAGTTCGCCTGCTAACATGCTGCGCACAGGACTAAAGATGGGATCACCTCATCGTTGGGACCATAGTATGCTGAGTTGTGATTAGCAACGAAGTAGTCATACAACAGTACGACTCACCACCGTGGCGAAAGGCATGGTAGCGGCGACCATGCTCGGTAGGGTAATCGACCACGCTAGAGCTCAGCGATTTCGTATACGCGGAAACAGATCTACACAATGAGCGCATGTTGAAATCAAGAATTCCTGGACAACCTTACAATTGATCATCTGGAATTGGATTGTCTTCGTTGTCCTATACGTGCTTTGAGAAAAGGCATCAACGTTCGGGAAAGGGCGAGACAAACCTGTTCATCGACCTCAATCGGGGTTTGCTGAGCCCCGGTATCACCACCCTCATCGCGAGCCGCGTGCCCTTCAGGGGTAGAGCCTGGCACAGTGGGTGAGGCGGTCTTTGACCTTGAAGGGAGGGTCCAAGACTTTGGGGATGCTGCGTCTGCCGTCGCCTGTTCTGCTCTCGGCGAAGAGACTGCTTCTTCCGCTGCAGAGAAGGTTGCTTCTGCTTGTGGAGGAGAAGCCTTCGATGGAGAAGTTATCTCCACCGATTGCGATGGTTTGGGGGCGTCAGCCATATTTTGCTTAAATGATAAGACTCGACAACGATAGTCGTGGGAAAGGTCTCGAAAAACGGTGAATACTTGAAGAACCCGTCAAGAAGTGGGAAGAAAAGGCTAGAAAGAGGGGATCAATAGAGGGATCCAGCCAACATAAATAGGACCTGCAGTGGGTTTCCAGTATTTCCTCAAGGCCTGGTGACCTACTGTTGGTGCAAGATGCGTACATGCCCAGTATGCAGATGCACGAAGCATTTTCCTAATTAAACACACAGTACTCATAATGTCCAGGGTGTGGAGGTGATCAGTGTCTGCCAATGTGGGACCGAACCTCCAATAGGATTTGGCCCGACGATTCATCCCCAATATTCTTCGACATATGCATACTGCGTAAATCAGCACAGGCTGCGGGCCTTGTTTCCTCTTCAGATCTATTTCTCCAGTCCGAGGGCTACAGTCTACATGTTGCTTGACATGGGATAAAGAACATCACGTGGTTGTCATACAGGCATCTAAGGCATCCACGATCATTGAAGCCAGACGCGGAAGCTCATTAAATGGAAGAGAAGATTTGGTGCGTTCATTCGGCGCATATCAGCGAGTTGACTGAAAGCAGAGCCATTCGGCGCCCGTGTCCCGCATCACTGGTGGACACTAGCAACTTGACGAGAAAGTATCTGGAAAGGTGCTATTGTTTGAACCATCAGATGTTAACCATTTGCTTAACTTATAAGGTGCTAAATACTTCTATTGAAGAGCGCAATGCGAAGGAAAGATGCGGACCGCAAGTAGCGCGTCCATTATTTTGCCGCTTCAGACTTTGGTTTCTGAGCATACACGACGTGGCTGGGTATATCTTGTTTCAGCATTGTTCACTTAGTTCAGTTTGGATGAAGGACTCACAAGTTTATGTATGCATGAAATGCCCCCGTCTTCAATTCCTTGCGACACTGTGCGAGAAGCACCTGGACCTCCGCCTCGGTCCAGCCAAGAACTCCGGTGAAAAGTCTCAGATTGAAGGCCTCGAGACCATCGAGCACTTGGTGAAGGTTCATCATCCCGATGTCTTTGTAGTGGGGGTCCCTAGCCCACGGTCCAACGGGTATCGGGTATCTGTGATGGACGATGTTGACAAAGCCAGCGTCCTCGAGCCATTGCGGAATCAGGGGACCCGGCCGCGCCTCGCGACCGATGATCTTACACGCGTCAAAAAACATGTTCAGCATTTTATGCGTCTGGTGCTTCTCATTATATGAGCCGTCATCCGACCGGTACAGAAGGTCCCAGTCTTCAAATTCAGCCCAGCCTCCTGGGTTGGTATTTCTGCAGAAAGTGTGAGACTACTACATCCATAGCTATCTCAGAAGAAACTCACGCAAAGATATTGTTGACTAATTTCGGCCAGTCTGCAATAGCGCCTGCCATGGAGCGGCAGAAGATGTAGTCGTATGATCTCCTAACCCACGGACTCTCGACATCGTCGACTTCGAACTTGACGTTCGGCGGGACCCTGATAATTGGTCAGTGGGCTGATTCATTGCGACTTGAAGGGATGGACTCAAATACCAAGTCTCCTGAGTAGCACTTAAGTCGTTTCCAATAATCTGTCACACACACTGTCAGCATAGACTCGACCCTCGTGTAGGCTTGGTTATGGCTCACCTCCGCGTTAGGGAAGAACTCCGCCACTTCGATTGCCCCTGTGTCATATCATGTCAGTCTCAGATCTGAAAAAGCCGAGACAGGAAAGTTACAGACAGATCCCGGTTCCGGTGCCAATGTCAAGAATTCGGTTGGTCTTTTCTGGCTCCAAAGGTGCATAGTAGAGTTTTCCAACGGTCTTGACAATAAGCGCAGAAAGAAAGTCGAGGCGATCCAATTCTCTCTAGCATTTCGTTAGCTATTTTTGATGTATTGGGAACATTGTGAGTGGCCAGAATAAGGTTCCCACCTCGTCATTCGGGCCATAGTAAGCTATTCTAGCGTCAGCAGTAATCCCAAGTCAGCTGTCTCGATTGTGAAGTCTTACCTCCGGCGCGAAACGCATGGTATCGTCGACCATGCTCCGTTGGATAGTCAAGAACACTCGAAGTAACAGATGCAGTGTATGCCGATCTAAAACATCAACCTCGGACCACAGCGTAAAACTGAACTTTCTTACAATTGATCGTCGGTTACAATGGCAGCATCCTGGTGCCAATGTTAGAACATGGATAATGAACGGATTGACGCCAAGTATTCAACATACACCGGTGGTGTTATCAACTTCGATGTTATTATCAACTTGGGGAGCAACAGCCTCGGGTGAACCGGGCGCCGCTGGAGACGCAGTCTTGGACTTCGGGGATGCAGTCTTGGATCTTTCAGGGGACGTCGTCTTCTCCGCGGGAGGTGAACCCGTTGGCGAACGTTGGGCCTTTGACGAGTCGGCCATGTTGATCTTTGGTCCAAGAAACAATTGCAGACTCAGATTGCCGACAGTTTGGCACTGGTATCGAATGTGACGGAAATTTTCTCCAGCACGACTGAGAGATGAACGCAGAGAAGCCCAGGAAGAGGGGTACGGCGAGTGGGCGGTTGGACCCAGACACTTGGGGGCCATTTGTACCGCCGGCGCCAACATCTTCACGAGCTGGTGACCCATTGTTGGTGCAAGAGAAGTTGATTGTGCAGGCTCGGTATGCACAAAGACGTCCCAGTTTCCCCATTCGATATTCAACCCACGTCCTTGCCTAGGGTCGGGAGCTAATCAACGGTCCGTCAATGTGACTGTAGTGGGGCCGTTCCGGGCTCCCCGATGCGTTCATCAACCTCGGCGAATGAGAAACGAGCTGTCGCGAGATCCCCGGTCTTCTTCACCGAATGAATATGCACAAATCAGCTCAGTTTGCACCCCTGTTTCCTCGCTGAAGGCCACAACGAGAAGAAACAGTGTGAGGAATTACCCAGCGAATCTAAACTTATTGCTATTTCCGGCTTATGTGTCCAAGCCATGATATGAACTTGCGGACTTGCGCTCTTTAACACCAAAGCGACTGATAAGCTAGCGACCTGAATGAGAGCGATGACCAATAAGTGAGAGGATTTGCTTGGCATTTCAACTCTATGTCCTCCAACACTATCGCTAAGACGGGTCAATATTGAAATCCTAGAAATGAATTCAAATGCCCAAAGCAAGCATTCGTCAGCCGTCTGTATCCTTGAATCTAAGCCCACCTCATTGTTGCATGACGAAGCTGGCCCGGCTACTATATTGACGCGCTCTACACGCCCCTCATCATTCTTTCTCTTCTTTCCCGAGAATAGTCTAATGTATCCTTGGGGGGTTAACTGGCAAGAGGGAATTGGCGAGCAGCCTGCATGGAGTTCTGCTGTTCAGACTCTTTATGCATCAGCTCTGTTCCAACACAAACAATTCCCAACCTGTATCGGATCGGGGAACATCGCTCAACATAAGAACATTTTAGCCAGCATCCCTAAGGTCTAGGCAACTGTTGGACTTCGCAGATAAGAGATGGCGTTGCCGAGAGATGCACTGGCCTATCAACCTATTAACATCATATGAAATCGAGGTTTTAGCTGAGGCGGACCCAAAAATGAAAGTTTTGTCCAGAAAGCAATATGGCGTTTATGCTTAGACTTTGCGGTCAGGTTGACACTATGGGCAATGCTACAGCAGAAGCTGATACATAATAGCGACCGAGAAGAGTCTTGAAGAGAGTCAGCTATCATATGAGACCGCGCCGTATCAACACTCAGCTTGGCCTTTGATTAGTGTCAGTTGTATTAGCAGTCTATCCAGTTCCTCACTGGCTTTACAAGTAGCAAGTCTACTGCTCAAAGTTGGTGACTACTGGTGTTGATGCCCCACGAGTTCTTCATTAGGTGAAGGATCTATGAATATCCATGACAGTAAAAGGAAAAGTACTGATATGTATAACTTGGTTCACGAGAGTTTTCATTCTTAGCACAGGCAGTCCGTCCAAGATAAGGATGAATTGATGTCGAGATCTACGCCCCCTCATCACCTGTGAAGAAAACACCGCCCCGACAAAAACAGCCTCAACGCTTACAACCTAGGAGATAGCTAAAGGCAACGAATAAAGAAGAAAACCGGAGCAAACGAGATAAACGATCTTCGCCAGCTCAAAGACAGGCTCAGTCGTCAACCACCACTCTACGGAACGCGGCCAAGCAAACCCAGGCTCCATGGACTGCCAAATTTTGAGTTTGATTAATAATCAGGCCCGCCTTGCTAGCTCAATCGGTAGAGCGTGAGACTCTTAATCTCAAGGTTGCGGGTTCGACCCCCGCGTGAGGCTCAAATCCTCACCACGATTGACTCAGTCCAATCCGTCGGGTTCTTCTTTTTCGATTTTTGGTTGCATTGACTAACCAGCATTGATTGCTGTCATGCGCATGGTTGACGATGAGTGAAGAGCCATGGTAACTCGCAACTTTGTTCATCTTGGTCTAGATCTGTTCATCCCGTTGTATCACGGTGGCACGTTTCCCGAACCTCACTTACACTCCTCAGTGGAGCCATCACCAGAGACCACCCAAGTCTGCATCGCCACGCTCTCCATTCTGCAGACACCTTACTATGCCGCACGTCAAACCACATTCTGTCTGATGAAATCTCCGAACCCTTCTTGTTCCCAGTCTCTGGGTACCGCATCCAAGGTTCGCGACGCGTACCCGGCTTACACCAAAGTCCAACTCACCAGCATCCCCTCTCAGTAAGCCCCCTCTCATCAACGGTATTTGTCAACCCTCTTCAATCACAGCGTGCCTCACACGACGGCCAAAAGTCTTGGAACGCGCCACAGTGTTGACACATTACAACCTCATCGCCAAGGGACGCACCGGGTCTGGTGAAATGATGGAGCAAGCAACCGCAGCCGGGCCGCGCCCTCGCCCTCCCCCTCCCACCGCTAACCCCTCCCCACGGCGAGCGTCCTGGCCGGCAACCCTCAACACCACGCATCGCAGTCTAAACTCCGACGTCAACCCCCGGGGAGCATCCCTTCTAATCCCCCTCCCGAAACGGAGAAGCCCATGATCCCTGGGAGGGGAGTGACAATCGATAGTCCAGAGCGCACAAATCCCTGGAGATGATGCGCGAAGAGAGGAACGCCGGAACCTTGAACGAAGGATAGGTATCTTAGTGGGAGAGCCAAGATGTACCCGGCCGCCGCGTGCCGATGCGGCTTCCGGCCAAGAGGCGGCGGGGGCCAAAGCCCGATCACGTTAGGCGAAGGGGGGGAGGGGTAAGGAGCCAAGGCCCGGGATGCCGGCCGGGCGGTCCCCGACTTCCCTGTGCTTATCCCTCCTCTCCTCCAAAGCCGTGCCATCGTTTTCGTTTTCCAGCACGCGCCAACCACCAAGGGCAGAAGGAGAAAAAAAGGCAGAAAGGCAAAACGATGCAGAAAGAATTCTCCGATTTTACCCACTTTGCCCACAGACGCCGCTGACACTTTGACATGACAACCATCTAAAACAATCTTGTCACGGTCCGTCGAGAGACCTTTCGATGGAGGCCGGGGAGGGACGGGGGTTCCAGGAGGTCACAACAGCCAGCGCCCAAAACTTACAACAGAAACCCCATCACAGACCAACTACTGTTGCGAGTGACGTACAGCAATGGGCATAGTGAGCGCAGTGAAAAATGTGTAGATGTCTATAGAAAAAGGAGGGCAGCAGGGATCATAAGGGCAGGGGTTATATATACCCCTACAAAGACCCCTACTATGTATATCTTCGCAACACACCCCCCTAGGAGCGATATATATTGCTTCTAAAAGGCCCTATAAAGTATATATATAGAAATAAGGTAGAAATAAAGTTATTCTTACCCCCCTATAGACTATACTTAATATAGAGGGGCTATCCTAACTACTTATAGATTATACTTAATATAAGTAGTTTACTATACCTATCCTTTAGCTTTATAGAATATATTTAATATAAGTAGTAAATTATACTTAATACTAGAGAGCTTTAAAATATATTAAAATTAGAATCCTAAGTAATAATATTAATTAGTATATTAGTAGTAGTATTATTAAACTACTTATACTAATAAAAATCCTCTATAAGATCTTTCTACTCTTAGAGCTAAAAGTAGATCTTAATATCCTTTATATTATTAAAAGAGATCTAGATATCTAATTAACTAAAATACTTACTATAAAGTACCTTTTTAAACTAATAATACTTAATAGAGTACTACTTATACTAATACCTATAAAGGTAAAAGTAGTAATTATTATTATTACTAACTAAAACTAATTAAGAAGGAGGTTTAGAAGTAGCCTTAGTAGCTTATATAGCTAGCTAAGGTTCTAGATATCTATTAAGTATAGTATATACCTTATTTAAAGTATAATCTAAGTTAATATTTTAAGCGTTTTAGATAATTATTATAAAAAGTTATTTATACTCTTTAAGTAATTTAGTTAGCTAGCTACCCTCTTATATAATTAAAAGCTTAAATTAAGTATATTCTACTTAAGTTAAAGCTAAATATATACTAATTATATTTAAGAAGGCTTATATACTAAGTATACCCTAAATATTAGGAATATTATAGGCTTTTACTACTAAAAATATATAATACTAGCCTTTATACTACTAAGAAGGATTAATATTACTATTTATATTATATAGTATATATAAATAGTCTTCTTAAATAAAGTTATAAACTATAAGGTCTATAAAGTAAAGTTAAGCTTAGAAGGCTTATATAAAAACTTAAGTTATCTTAGATAACCTATTTAAAGCGTTTATAAGTTTAAGTTATATAGTAGAGAGGATTATAAAGTTAATAGTATATTAGATCTATTACTATATATACTAGAGGCCTTTAGAAACTTTAGTATATTTAGTAATAATAATCTTATAATTATAGATCTAACTAGAATATTTTTTATATATATTAGTAATAGTAATAGGAAATAGAGATATTAGCTCTAAATTATTAGATATATTAAGAGTAGTAGTTCTAGTATATTATATTTAATACTAAGATACCTATATATTATAATTAGCTTTATATTATAGCTAAAAGCTTACTTAATATATCTATATAACCTTATTAAGTATTAGAGGCTATTAATATATTTAAGGAAATATATTAGAAGTACTTAATATAGGATTAATATATTCCCAGACTCTATAATACTAAGTATACTATTATAGCTATAGGGCCTATATAAACTAATCTTATAGTAATATAAACGTCATAGTTACTAATAAGGTATTTAAAGTTATTATTATATATATTACTCGTATAGTAAAGGGGATTATAAAGGTATTATTAAAAAGCTAAGCTTATAACTATTATAAATAATATATAGCAATAAGTATAGTAAGTATAGTAAAAAACATATAGATATCTATAGAAAAAGGAGGGCAGCAGGGATCGCAAGGGCAGGGGTTATATATACCCCTGCGAAGACCCCTACCACGCGTGTCTTCGCGACAACTACTCTGTGTCAACGTCTCAATCACGAACCAGTAGGTAGTAAAAGAAGGAAAACTAAGAAAGGGCTGTGTTGAGTTGGCGCTAGTTGGCCAGACCCCCCGTATCACATCATCCCGTCAAACCCGTCACTAAATCGTCCCAATCCCGCACCCGAAACAGCCTACATCAGAGATTTTGACTGAGCAGATCATCGCCCACACGGCCAAGAACAAGGGGGGCGAGCAGAGAGAATCAATGACAGCGATAAGCTTGTTTTCTCAACATGTCCCCACACCATCAGTGAATTACAACAAGGCTGTGTCCGTCCACGATAACCGACAAGGCCAGTTCGCACATCTCTGGGAGTGGTGGCCCTCCCCCCTCCACCAAGGTTCAACCCGTTGCCGCTAGCCCAAAGATCCTTGCAGGATGTGTGACACGCATCTTCTACGTTCCGTAGCCTCATGAGACTCTCCCGCTAGTCAGGAATGGGCGGAAGTTCAGGAGGGAAAGGGTGGTGTGTGGGCGTGGTAACCTACATTCGGCGGTGGCAGTGCGTTCGAACCTTTTGGTTCTCATCTGCGTTCTAGTTCTTCCTGGGGGGGAGGGAAGTTCCCTGGCCACACCACGCTACCCAATGCAGAGATCACATCTCAGGGTCTTGGATCACCATACCACCTCAAACAGCTCTCCTCCTCACAGAAGATTGGGGCTAACGCCAGACCTTGCTGATGGGGCCGTACCATAGCCCTCGAGGGGAGGTCGTCGGTACCAGTTACCAAACAGTGAAATCGCCAACCACCACCACCCCGCTGGTAGGGACAACTGGCTATGCTGTGTGCTGTGCTGTCTTGCCCCGGTGGCATCCAACCAACTCCCCCAGCAGACGAGAAACACGACGTCAAACGTGGGGAGGGGACCGTGTTGGCGCGGTTTCTCTCTCCATTCTGTGTCTGAACCTGGGGCCATCGTGCCGTTTGACGTTTCCAAAACCAACATTGTGACATTTCTCTCGAAGCTTTTGGAAGCCATCGACTCGCTTCACTGCCTTAGTAGGCGCAGCAAGCACCACAAACACATCTGGCGACAGAGCAGAGAAACGTGTGTTTTGAGGCAATTTACGTGCCCATCACGATATCCAGTCCTAGCTTTGTTTGGTAGTCCCGTTTGGCGCCTGAGGCCTGGCTGCTGGGCTGGTGTGACGAGGTTTGTGTCAACTGGTCAAGTGCGAGATGAGCGCGAAGAGGCGAAGGGCGGTGTTCGGAGCGTTTGCCGCGGGCAGGCCTTGCTAGACGCCCGAAATCGTGCGGCTTTTGATTGCGTCAATCGTTTGCTTGGTGTTGAATCCGGTTGAGTTGAAGCCATCGAGAGCTTGTTGTTCCTGCAAAACGCGCCTTTGCGCAGGTCATCTCAGATGTCGCTTTGTACACTCCATCGTGCCCATCCCAATTGTAATGATTTCGACCAAAACTTCCTAGTCGGCAGATCTCAAGACGAAGAAGTCACACAAGGACAGTTCCAAAAAACAAAAGAATGTCATCGTGGTCTGGAAAATACCAGCGAGTTCCGTGCCTCGCTGGCCAGCCGTAAAAATCCGCTTCGTTTGTACATAACCTATGTGCATGTAGGTATTGCAACTTTTTTGCGTAGTACGAAATTCCGCAGTTGCGACAAAAAAAAAGAAAAAAAATGGTTCCAAAACATAGAAAAGATGATTTCGACGTCCAGTCAGCCCAACCCCCCATATAGACAATATTCCCCAAACAAAGTTAGCAAATCAAGAAAAAACCGACTCTCCAGCCATCATCCTCTTTGCACTGGCGTCCACCCACAAAAGAAAAAAAGGCCCGGCCTCTTCCTCTGCCCCCGTCTCCCACGGTTGATTAAAACGACCAATTCGACGAACGTTGGAGCCTTTTGAAGTTGCCAAGGCACTGGACGACTTCCCTCCTGCCTTTGCTTTTTCCCCGCCTGTCCACCAATTTCCCACCAAGGCTTTTGGTAAAAACTCCTTTCATCCGGACCTGGTCTTCCAGCGAACCAGGCCAAGAGACACAAAGGGAAATGCCAAAACACGAGAGACCCTGCCGCCCCCGTTTCCCGCTTCCACTGCTTCTCCCGCCCGGTGTTTTAGTGCAGACATTAAGGTGTTAACGAATGGTTTGAGGGGGGCCCTGTATGGCTACGCCCGCTCTGGATGTTGTGGTAGAGAAAGGAAATTTTTGGTGAAAAATGACTGTGGAATAAGAAGAAAAAAGGAAGAGAGATGAAACGGCAAAGACGACGTCTATAGCCTGATCAACACATTATCGTACAGTGGAGCCGAATTGATGGCCCCAGTCGACTTGACAATCGCAAAGACTGTCCTGGGAAACCGTCGTATCGTTACGCGGTTTCCGAATCAGGTCATTTCCGTGACGTTCGTGAACGGTCATGATTTTGTTGTTGCCTGGGTATTGGTACTGCGAAAAGACATCAGGAAATGATCAAGTATGGCTCCGTAGCGGTATTCCCTGGGAAAATCGGTACACCATCCACAGAACGGGTCGCTCAGGGATCGTACGGCGCCAGGCTGAGTAGTGTCTCTAGATGATGTTCGCGATGCTCAGCCTGTCCTGCGGCCGACCCTTTGCGCTCGCCGTCGGGCTGTTGCTGCTGCTTCCCTCGCTGGCGGGTATGATGCTCGGCAGTGCTGGGGCAGGCGTGCCCTCCGACTTGATTCCCGCAGGCAACGCCGAAGACCAAGTTGCGGAAGTTGGGGTGGGCGTCGTATTGCCGGAGGCCAGCCCGCGGATGGCTGCCTCAAGACGTTCCCACCCACCCCATTCCTTCATTTCTTCGTCGCTCAGGCCGGTACGTTGCTCCGCACTGAACAGCCCACTGCTGGCACCGCCGGAGGCAGTGATGGAACCCGGCGACGTGGGAGAAAGAATGGCTTCGCGCTCCCCGCCGGCCCAGATCCAAGCAGCGTCCGGTGCGGCCTGCAAGTCAGCGCTGACATACGCCAGCAGCTCTTCGTCGTGGAGAAGGGCCTCTTGCAGAGGGGTAGGCCCAGGTCGGCCCTGAGGCGGAGGGGGCGGGGCGAAGGGCTTCGGCGGCGTCGTGCGAGCAACGAAGGAGGCATACTCGCTGCGCTTGGTGCCGAGTGCTGAGACGAAGAAGGCGAGGAATCTTCCACAGGGAATCGCGACGTCGCGCCTTGCGTCGATGGAGGCGAGAGCACGCAGGCATGTCGTTGCGTGATCCCAGTACCCCGCAAGCAAGAGGAAGAGGGCACATCGGAACGTGTGCGTGGTGAGAAGTGCTGTTGCACCATCCGCAAGGTTTGGGGTAGCGCGCGAGAGGAGGGAAGCTGTTTCAAGAGCTGTGTGAGTGCACTGCTCCATAGCAGCGAGGCGAACGTCGGGAGGGCAGGTTGGAGCGAGGTTGTGGCGGTGCAACACGAGACGAGCGTGGAGCAGGTAGGTGAAGGGTGTCAGGAGGTGAGGAGAGATCTGCCCTGTGCTTGAAGTGTCGCAAACGGGTGGGAAGGCTCGAAGGCACGACACAAAGTGCTGATCGAACGTTGCGAGTCTGGTCGGGGCCACAGCTGGGGCCGCTAGTGTCTTGATCAGGGACGAGTAAGATCTGATAACGTTGATCAGAGCTAGGAGCGAGTGGTTGAGGGGTTCTCGGCCCGGTGGCACCATAATACCGCCTTCGTGGATGTAGTGATCGTCGACGCCGGCAGGAAGCGAAACATCGCAGTCCGAATCGTCAATCAGGACAGGGCGGCCAAGATCGAGCGCTAAGCTACGGTCCAGGATGTATATCGTCCACCAAACTCGTCGGCGCATCTCGCCCTCGATGACTGGCCAAGGTCCGGATTCTGAGTAGAGGCCGAGATCTTGACCGGCTCGCACTGCGGTGCCTAGCCACGTCCAGGCGGCAGACTTTTGGTTCATTTCGTTCAAGCACAAAATAACAAGCACCAAGGCCCGTACATTGTCCAGAACGTAGTCGTTATTCCAGGGGTCGATCATGCCCCGGGCGACTTCGAGGAGCTCCGCGGCTCGATAGGCCCGGTGTGAATGGGGATCCGAGCTGAAGAGACTTCCTAATGCCAACGCGGAGAAAAACGTGGAGAGCCACGCCGGTTGTACCGATTTCGTGTTTCCCATCCTGTAGAGATCATCGACTCCAGTTTGAAAGGTTGGCCAGTGCAGGATGGGAAACATGGTATGGGCTGAGCCATAGTAGGCGTGCAGCAGCTGGTCAGTCGTCTGCCTCGGGGGCAATTCAGGCCTCTGCGGATCAAACAAAGGTGTCGTCGGTGCTTGACGATACTGCGCCGGAGGCTTCCAGATTCCACGAGAAAAGATGCGCATGTTGGACCTCGCTCTCGCCAGGTCATGCATCGGGGCAGGTCGCTTCCTCCGCTTCGGTTCGGTGCCAATCTCGGGGAGTTGTAGGGGGAGCTGTTCAAGACCATCCGGATCAACATCCATCGCACCATCTCTCTCCTGAAGCATCCGCCTCATGCTGCCGTTTTCTCGTCTCAAGCGTTCCAGCTGCTTCTCGAGGTCTTGTACCTGCTTGATCGATGACATTCTACGGTTCGTTTCTTTCGTGAACTGGCATTTGACGTTGCGGCTGGAGCATTCCGAACAGCTCGTCGTCTCTGTGGCATCACACTTAACCTTTCTCTCCCTGCATGCGTCACAACTGGGGTCTTTCCTCCTCTGCCTGTAAGCTCTTTTCTGCGCCTGGGAAATGGGCGGCAGCGAAGCTGTAGAAGGACCTGGTGTGCTCGCCACCGACTCCGCCGAGGGAAGTGAATCGCGTCCCATGATCGAGCCCGCAGTCACTGGCGTATACGGAGTAAAGGCGCTCTGGTTGACGGGTGGCAAGGGCGGGATGCCAATGGGTTGTGGCGGCGGCGCCGCCGTTGTCCTCGGTCCTGTATTCATCAAGCCTCTGGGAAGGTACTGAGATGGCTGCTTAGGTGAGGTCGCAGATGAAACCGAAGAAGAGTCGTACGACCTTGTGGAAGGATTGGGGGATCGTGGATACGGGTTGTGCGACGATGCAGCCATTGCGGAGCGCTGTTCAAACGACCAGTACTCGCGCGACTGGTTCAGAGGAGTCTCCACGGGCTCCCCAAGATGATGAGCAAGAGGAAGGCGGCGCTCCACGAACATACAGACGGATGTGTCGGGTTGGCGAGACGAGAGAGTCTGGTTGGTATAAGTGAACTCGGAAGTTGGCACGGGGACTAGAAGCTAGACCCGGAGCCAGTCTCGAGCACGAAAATGCTGTTCGCCGGTCTGAAGTTGCGGCTCACTCAGCAACACTGGTCAACCAGATTTGGTTTTTGTCTTCGCGCGTCCGGGCACCAGGCGTACTGCCGTCCTCTTCGACGATGCTGGCGAGAACGCGTGTTGCTGCAGCTGTCCTGTGTAACTCGAGACAGGTTAGACCCACGACTCCGGCGGTTTGTTGTCTGACCTCGGCCGCGAGACTGCAGGACGGCAAAGATGAGCGTGGAATACGGCCGTTGTGCTGTGTCAACCCGCTGTAGAATTGAGTGCTACCAAACGATATCTGGCACGCAGGACTTGGATTAGCGGGGTGCTCTCCAGGATCCGTTTGAGTAGCCGTCTTTTAGGAGAATGTTGTTGTTCAGAATCAAGCCATGAGTCAACCATGAAGGAACATGCCAGTGAGGAACGGCTTAACTCTTGAACAAAATACAGGAGGAAGAAGCAACCAACAGGTCGAGACGGGCGGAGGGTAAAGAGGTGTAAAGAATGACAGGATGTGGCTGCGCGGGATGGTGGCAGAAATGGGGAGTGCGTCTGGTCGGAGTAAAGAGAAAGCGGGTAGGGTAGAAAGACAAGGGAGGCTAAGGCAAGGCAAGGCAAGGTACAATAGCGCTGCTTAGGTCGCTATGTCACTCGATGGGTGCAATACAAGCACCGGGGGTTTAGTGACGATGGTTTGCGGTGCCATCGAGGCATCAGGTCTGGATCCGGGGCTCTCCGCGCGTGGAAGCAGAATCGGAAATATTATCTGGAGTGGTGGAGGGCTCAACGGTATCCCTGCTAGCACTAGCACAGGAAGCAAGGAGGACGAACAGGGCTGTGGAAGATGCTCATCAACCAAAGTAACTAACGTGTTTCGACCGGAGAGTGGGCGCTGCCGGGGTGCCAGGGTCCTGGTTCAAGAGGGCGAGGGACCCAGGGACGTCGGACAAGTCACCAGGAAGTCCCATGATCCCTGTAGTCAAGCGTCGACACCCAGCCCAGGATTCATGATGGCGAATCGGCAACAGCTTCGAGAATAAGGTCGCCGTGCCGCGACTCACTGACATTTCCCGTCGACAAGCCCACTTGGACTTGGCCAGGGTGCTGGTCCTCAACTTTTTTTGCGCAGGAAACAGGGGAGGAGAACATGGCCACAGCTGCTGCTCCCCTAGACAGGGGTCATCTTAAAGGGGCTTGACAAGTTGGTTGGGTTGGCTTGCGTTGATATGACTTGTGTTCTATGATCTGAAGGGACCACGCGGTTTGCGCTCCTTTCATCGGGAATTTCGTAAATGGTGGGCCAGGAAAAGGGCACACACGTTACCACAGATCCAGTCGCCCAAGGCCGCCCACGATGCAGAAGAGGTAATAATGCGCCCCGACTTGTGGGAGGGTAATCAGTCATGCAGCTTCGACATCTAGGCCTGGGGAAAGGAAAGGGGGGTTTGCCTGACGTGGATGTTGACTGAGGGCGGGAAAGAGTTCAGGCGTGACGAGAAAGAGAGGGACACAGAGAGAGAGAGAGAAAGTGTGTGTGTGCATGTGGGTGTGGGTGTGTGTGTGCAACAGAGTGTGGATGGATGGATGTACAGACACTCTTCATAGGATGTATGGATGGGAGTTGAGTGCCCGTCGTTGGTTCGGTTGACTCTTGCTAGGGGAAGAACCTGCAGACTCCGCACATGAAGCTCTTCCACTTCTGCACTTTATTGCAGGAGACTTGTTGCTGTTGGGAGTTGGCCGGCATTCTCTCGGGTTGTGCCACTGACTTCTGGCGCTGTGGGCTGAGGGGCCTATTTTAGGACATGATGTGCATCCGGAATCCTTCCAGCAGTATTTCCAGCAACTTGCAGATGGACCAGCTTTGGTCCAGGTCAGTTGCCCGAGTCTTCCTCTCTGCCATGTTGGTTTTCGTGTCTTGCTTCTGCTTGCCCTGCGTCCAGTTCCTCTACCGGGCTTGAGGCGACTGGACAGCCGACAGACGAGCCGACTACAGCCCGCCCGGGCGGAGGACGTGCGCTTAATGAGAAGGGGCCGCTAAGCCGTTCGTCGGGAGCTATCGAAGAATGATCTTCGGGGCTTTTTCGCTGCCAATGGCCGCAGCGGGTTGATTGGTTTGACGACGACCGACCAGCATGGCCCTGACCACGTAACCGCGACCCGATCTTGTCATAAAATCTGGCATAAGGGTAATGTCCGTGGCATTGCGTACTAGCCGGTTATAACAGAGGGCACTTGTCCAATATCTGGAGCGACGTACGATATTGAGGTGCTTCTGCTCAGTTGATGAAGGGGACGATATTTCGATTGACCAAGGCATGGGACAGGGAAAACGAAACAGTGACATCCACGTACCTTCTTAGTCCAAGGATGTCTCGGAGAAACCCTCAGAAAAGAGTTCGCCCTCTGCTTGCAGACAATGTGCGAGCCCGTGTCTGTCAACGTCTCAACAGGTTCTTTCTCAGCCACCAAGCTATGTATGTTCTGTGTGTATGTCGTGTGCGGTCCTTCGGGTAGCGGCTGGTTCTCGACCTTTCTGCAACGGCCAAGCACGTGTCTTGTTCACTACTGAGACCAACGTGCAATAAGCATATTTCGGTGGCAGAACCGAAAGCCCGATTGACGTTTTATCTCTCCGAAAGGTGTCGATAGACTGGTGCAGACAGGGCTTCAGCAAGGGACAAGCGAACGCTGCTCGCAGCTTTCTCAAACGCGTGGCGTAGGATGGCGTCGTCAAACCCTGTGTGGGAAGGAAAGTCAGCACCCAGAGCAGGGTTCTTACAGCGCCTTGGTGTGCTTGTTGCGTTTCTCCAGTATCCGTTGACCGATTCGAGGCTGCTCTCCGGGCTGTTGGCTAGGGGTTGAGATTGGCGGGGACTGTTTTTGCAGGGGCGGAATCTGCACGTTGCCGCAAAAGAACACGGTCCACTGGCCACGCAACAGACGTGATGATGTTGCAAGGGTTCGAAGAGCCAGCCGGTGTCAATGGCAGGGTGGAATGTGACGAGTTTGACAGGCCTAAAGCCGACGGAACCGCACAATGGCGACAAATGGGCTTCCTTCCAACGGCCGCTACCACGTTTCTTGGCCGGGGTTTGACAGGCCCAGCCGGCGAACGCAGTCACTACTCAGTACTCAAGGACTGTGACGGACCTCTGCTGCAGTTGGACGGCCTGAGAAGGGGGGACAAGACCCAGAATTGGGGCGCAATCACTGTTCGAAACACTTTGATTCGTGACCTGTTTTCGGGTGTCTTTGAAGGAGGGTGTCAACCGCCTGGCTTCGGCTATGTTCTGAGTCGGATGCAATAGAATCGTTTCCAGGAAGTAACGATCAAGGTCGGCGACAGAAAGGAGTAGCTAGATATTTTGTGCGGAGAAGAATCCGCATTTGATGACGCAGATAGTCGTTGAACCACCGATGTTATTGATCAACCACGGCCTGAGCCGGTCCAATCTGTCGGTGCTAGATGGGACTGGTCTTGGCAAAACCAAAAGAACTGAGCTGGTCCTGGAAGTCAAGATTGAAATCGGTATGTGTAAAAGGAAAGCCCAGAACGATTCAGGGGTGGGCGATGAGCATGAAGACAGATGTGATATGACGGTCGTATTAAGGTGGGCATGAACGGTGATCTCCAATGGAAGACGAAGGACAGATATTGAGCGCAAGGAGTACTCTATAGTTGACGAGCAATATCTGTGGAAGCCCAATGCAAAACAAGTATGATGGGGTTGTACTGCCGGAAGTTCCCAGACTGACTGGAGAGAAGTGGCTGTGGCACTCAACCAAGGGGCGAGGCGTTGCGTGGCCCAGAGAGCAATACCCTCGTGGTAATAAGGCATACGGATACACTGACGGGCAAAATTTCTGTTTTGACAAACTTCTACCGGTATGCCCACGCGGTGCCGTGGGGTAGGTAGGTTAGGCTGGTGCCTTGGAGTGAGTAGTGACGACGGTGTAGAAAGACGACGGGCCAGTGATCCCACACACCCAGTAGCCCGGGGCGGGACAGATCAGCACTGCAAAAGACATCCTTGCAAGGGTGTGTGGGCGAGCTTGAATGCGCCTGGAGATGGTCTGTCGTCCTGTCTTCCTCCCATCAAGGAGCCGATCAAACGCACCAAACGGCACGAAAGAGGAAGGCCAGAGACGACAGTGCTAAGAATAAGCCATGGCTGGCGAGGGGAACGCTGGTAAACCGAATTGGCGCAACGTTCGTCTTGCCGTGGGTGACAGGTGGCAGACAGAGGTCAGTGTGAGCCACAACCCCGCAAGCACCAAGTTGATTTTGGACTTTGAGAGGTTGGACGGGGCGATTGTTAAAGTCCCGGTTCCAGAAGATCAGATCCCAGGCCGGACGCAGCGACGGGTGGTAGACGCCGGGTCCTCTTCATGGGACAAACAACGTCAAAACTGCATAGTCCAAGGCCAAGGCGTGAGCCGGTCGGAGACTGTCCGATGTGTAAGGTGAGGCGCCGCGAGGAGAGTTACATGGCGCTGGCCTGCAAGCCTGCGGCGGCATTGGTGTGCGTTGTCGTCGAAAGTGGCGTCCAAGATGTGCGCACTAATGACACCGCACCACACACAGCGCGTTGTAGCGTGTGTTCTGGCATGCGCCGCAGAAAACAGCTATCCGTAGACAGCACAATACAGAACTGATGCAACTGGTTAGCCCGCCCGCTGCTGCGTGGTGGCCTGGTCCACACCCTTGGGATATCGGGGCCGTGGAGCAGGCTGTGCTGGGACTTGGAGCAGGAACTCCAAGAAATCTGAAAGAACTCGAGTCAAGCTGAGAGCTGCATCGTCCAGGGCCCTGGCCCTTGGCCGGTCTGTTCCTGTTCCCGTCTGTTCCCAAAGGAAAAACATCGGCGGGGAATCGGGATGGCCAGGATCCC